CTATTGGGCCGCTAAATAATTAAATACAAAAATCAGTAAATAAACAGACATGATATTTAAATAGTGAAAACAAAGACAAATATGTTTCAAACTTGCATTGTATTCACCCAAGTCATTATTCTATCATAGTTCACAAAATGCATCAGATAACAAAGAAAAATATGTTTCAAACTAATACCCTGAAGTTAGTATTTGTCTTTGTTTTGTCTATTGGTTGAAGTAATGCAATCCATTCAAGTTTCAATTTGCAGAAGAAGAAATAGTTTACTTTCGCAACACGAAACTTAAAATCGCAACGCGAAACCAAAATCGCAACGCGAAATGAAAATCGCAACGACAGAATCGCAATGCGAAATGAAAATCGCAACGAAAGAATCGCAACGCGAAATGAAAATCGCAATGCGATTTTGGTTTCGCGTTGCGATCTTGTCGTTGCGATTTTGGTTTCGCGTTGCGATTCTGTCGTTGCGATTTCATTTCGCGTTGCGATTTTGGTTTCGCGTTGCGATTTTAAGTTTCGTGTTGCGAAAGTAAACTATTTCTTCTTCTGCAAATTGAAACTTGAATGGATTGCATTACTTCAACCAAAAGACAAAACAAAGACAAATACTATTTCACAGTGTTAAAGAATACACAGTTTAGCAGAATTGGCAGCAACCGAACAAATTTACTTTCAACCAAAAGACAAAACAAAGACAAATACTATTTCACAGTGTTAAAGAATACACAGTTTAGCAGAATTGGCAGCAACCGAACAAATTTACTTTCAACCAAAAGACAAAACAAAGACAAATACTATTTCACAGTGTTAAAGAATACACAGTTTAGCAGAATTGGCAGCAACCGAACAAATTTACTTTCAACCGAAAGACAAAACAAAGACAAATACTATTTCACAGTGTTAAAGAATACACAGTTTAGCAGAATTGGCAGCAACCGAACAAATTTACTTTCAACCAAAAGACAAAACAAAGACAAATACTATTTCACAGTGTTAAAGAATACACAGTTTAGCAGAATTGGCAGCAACCGAATAAATTTACTAAGCAATCTAAGTGAAATGGCTAATCTAAGTGAAATTACGAGTAAATTTATCATTAAGTTAAATATGGAAAATCTTAAACTTACCTCGTTGCGTAGAGTATGAACCTCATTCTGCAACGATACTATCATCTCACGTAGAGCGGCAACCTCACCACGTAAAGTTGACACCTCCACACGCCATGCACCATCGTTATCGCGTAGAGTACCGATCTCCTCACGCAAGGCATTGACCTCATCACGTAACTCCCTTGACTCATCCCGTGGAGGTGGAGGTGGAGAACAGGGAGATAGGAGTCGTGGCATCTTTGCCGGTCGCCTATCATGAGGTGATGGTGGAGAAGAGGCTCGATGATGTGACGGGATAGGTGATGGCTCTCGTTCTAGAGGTGTATAGTCGGGTCGATCGGGTGATGGCTCTAGGTGAGGTGATGGCTCTCGAATTGGAGGAAGTGGATGCTGCTCATCATCCGTGCCATCAAAAAACTCTGACTAGCTTGCCACCAATCAGTGGCAAGCTCTTCCTCCGTGGGTGTCATCTTTGTAATGGAATGTTGGCCTCCTAAAATATAAAAACTCAAACAAAGTTAAACGTCTACTATTAATAACTTGTTTATATTATATGAAAGTATTGTGTTAACTTACATTATTTATTGTCGCATATGGTATTAAGTCTTCCCAATCCAACAGAGTTTTCCTCTTCCAGGAAATAGCCCTGGGAATATCATTTGACGTTTTTATTGCATATGTACGCATGCTGGGGAAAGCCTCGAATATCCAAATCTACAAACAATATAATAACAAAATTAGTAATTGTTAAATAATTAATTATAATTTAGAACATTATATAGAAATTCTTACCTTAAAGGCCCAAACAAGCCTGATAAAGTGTATTGGACCCATCGCCCCGCAAACTTTTGCGGTCATCAAAGGCAGACGACAACTTAGTCCAGTAGCTTTCCATATATACGAACCCCACGGAAACAGATTCCATGCATTCAGGTCCTCTACCAATATTATTAGCACCGATGAATAGGTTGTCTGGCCTCTCTGCCTAAAAAGCCGGCATACACAAGTAGTAGAAGGCATACTCAGACAACATCGACGTCATCCATCCGAGTGAAACCAGCTTTCTTATTAAACAATTTCTTCAGGTCGTCGACATGTAGGTTCGGCTTCTCCATTGACTCATCCGGAAAAACCCGGGATAACCATGATGGGCGGCGATATGACGAGTGTACCGGCCTACATCATCGTGTCCGAATCGTAGACCAGTGATTAAGCAGAACTCCTTCCGCCCAAAACAAGTATACGCTGGTGGAAAATGAAACCATATCTCTTTCTCACCACGTTGTATACTGTCGGGTAGATTTGATGTCATGGTCTGAAGCCACAAATGGGTCAATTAGCATCTCCACCCGGATGCTGTACTCTCAGCCATGGCCCGAAGCAGGTTTCCTCAACAATTGTCTTTGAGCAGGTGAAAGCTTCGAAGCAATTGTAGTGGCCAGGCTGACTTTATTTCTCAAGGTCATTGAGCCGAAAAAAATTTCTACAAAAACAATAAACATACCAAGTTAGATATACCAAAAACTACACTGTGAAGATATACCAAAAACAATAAACATAAAAAGTAGTAGTTTATTCTTGAAACTAAAATTTGCAACACTGTTTTGTCTTTTGGTTGAATGAAAATCGCAACGAGAGAATCGCAACGCGAAATGACAATCGCAACGAGAGAATCGCAACGCGAAATGAAAATCGCAACGAGAGAATCGCAACGCGAAATGAAATCGCAATGCGATTTTGGTTTCGCGTTGCGATTCTCTCGTTGCGATTTTCATTTCGCGTTGCGATTCTCTCGTTGCGATTTTCATTTCTCTCGTGCGACAGTCATTCTCTCGTTGCGATTTTCATTTATCTCGTTGCGACTCTTCTGCAAATTGAAACTTGAATGGATTGCATTACTTCAACCGAAAGACAGAACAAAGACAAAGACAAATACTAACTTGAAAATCGCAACGAGAGAATAGCAACGCGAAATGAAAATCGCAACGACAGAATCGTAACGCGAAATGAAATCTAAGTGAAATGGTTAATCTATTATTGAAATGACCAGTAAACTTATCATCAGTTTCAATATGAAAAACCTACAATAATGCAAACATTTCAAAATAAAAATAATTAAAAAAAACTAACCCTCGGAGGTTGATTTTCCATTTCTGAATATTGTGAGGGATTTCTGACCGTGAATGGTTGTGAGGGATTTCGCCGGAGATGGGGACGGAAATCTTCGGAGATGGGGACGGATTTCTTCGTCGTAGAGAGTGAGAGATGGAGATGGGACTGAGTTGTGATTTTAGGTTTTAGGTTATGAGTTGCGATTACGGGATTTTGTCTTAATATTCGTTTTTGTAATTTGAAAATAAAATACGCGTAGCGATTATAATGGCGCTTTAAATATCGCGTTGCGATTTACGGATACGCGTTGCGATTTTATTTATTATCGTTGCGATTTACGGATACGCGTTGCGATTTACCCATACGCATTGCGATTTACCCATACGCGTTGCGATTTACGGATACACGTTGCGATTTACGGATACACGTTGCGATTTATGTGTTCGCGTTGCGATTTTCATATTCGCGTTGCGATTTTGGAAAATCGCAATGCGAATTTGTACTATCGCATTGCGATTTTCAAGAATCGCGTTGCGATTTTGGAAACTGATTTGCGATTCTGGGGATCGCGTTGCGATTTTTATTTCGCGTTGCGATTTTGTTGGTCATTTTGGCAAATCCAAAAAAAGTTGGTTAAAATCGTATATTATAAGGCATTTTTGGTCACTGAGGCGATTTTCTCTAATAATAATAATACAAGATAATATAAAAAGTAGTGTTAAAATTAAAATAATTCAAAATTTAATAATTAAGTAGATATAGAAATTAAAATTAGTGATTAATGGGATAATTTGTCAATTTTTTGAGTGTCGGCAAGCAAAGGAGATGAAACAAAGCTAGTGGGGGGGTTCAAGTTGGTGTGTGTCACACTCTCGTAAGAGGGTACACACGACTGGGGACACGATTTGTGTTGTTTTTGAATGTGTTTTTGACGCTCGGAGTCGCCAAATATTTTGGTGGGGCCTAAATCTTCCTACCAACTCTATCCTTCTTTTCCCTAGTTAGTTGAGCGGAACGCTTCTGTAGTTTGATTCGGTAATCAACAGATAAAAAGAACTACACCCACTCACGTACACTGCAGCTCGTTTTAAACTGTAAAGTTCACCCCTTTTTTTCTACAAATACACTCAACTATTCATCAACGAAATTAGAATACAATGGTGATTAATATAAAGGTTATTCTTGACCCTGAGCACCACATTCATCCTTTCAACCACGTTTGGTCAAAACTTTAGTAACAAGAAATAGGCCCAAAAGATAATTGAATTGATGTTCATCCCCATTTGGCCATCACCATAGGGAATGTCACTTCGCAACATTTAATACAAAAAACTAAAAGCCAGAACAATAAATTAATAAAGATACTGAAGTGAACCAACATTAAGCCATTATGCCAGACAACGCATACATGCTCATGCTGTTAACACACAAACACAAAACCACCACACACTTTGGCAGGCTAATCAATCATCCTTCGCTGACACCAAAGAGAACTGGCAACTCACGTCGGCTATACTTGTTTTTCAGCCTCTCGAGAGACAGAATATATAGCCGGGTGGGAAAATCAAGATTCACTTGCGAGGATATTTCAGGCTCATCAGGTTGTGCAGCTAAAATCCAACCATCGCAGAGAATCCCCCAATTTAAGTACATCATATTGACACCCCTCCAGTATCCCACCCCCACCCTCCAAGAAAGAAAGAAAAAAAGAAATTTCTCAACGTTAAAAAAAAGGCAGTAAACAGACTCACGAATAATCACCTGGATCTAGATGCAGATACTAGAAAAGTGGAAAACAAAACCAAGTTCAGCAACCAAACTTTCCGACCAAACAGAAGTAGAAGATTTCAAATTCATTCTTGCTTGTCAAGCTGAATGACCAAAACATATTGAAAAAGAGCAAGTAAATATTTTGCATCTTCCAAAATCTTTCTTTTCAACTTTAAAAGCATGAAATAAATTAGATCTATAGATTACTAATCCCTCCTGCAAGGGCACTAAAACATTAACTTCTCTAGAACAGATATAGGCACCTGCCAGAAACATTTGACGCAGCTCTGCACCCATTTAAGCTAAAGCAAAGAAATGCCACTAGTGATGGAGGAAGCTTCATCCAGCAGGATATTCATTCAAACAGAGGCAACAAAGATCAAGTATTGAAGATCCCATATCCAGGCAACAAAGAAGTAAATCCCTTAGGTGCGGAAGCAGAAAAGTAATGAGGCAGACCCATAAGATACCAAATGGGGCACACAATGATCAAGCGTTGAAGATCCCATAGCCGGGCAGCAAAGAAGTAAATCCTTTAGGTGTAGAAGCAGAAAAGTAATGAGGCAGACCCAGAAGACACCTCAACAAAAAAGAAAAGTATGAATATTTTAGAAGACTTCCAGGAATGATCTCTCAATAACTTTTTAAATCTTAAGCTTCTTTTTCCTTGGCATAAAATAGACTAAGTTTTAGCACAGATAAAGCAGACAAAAGCATCATAAAACAAAAGAATAACAGAAAGGAACTTATCCAAATCCAAGAGGCTGAGGGCGTCACCCAATTAAAAATAGTAGCTTTGAAGTCCAAAGAAACTAAACACACTTAAGCCCAGTCTCTTCAACAAAAGTTACATCCTTGTGCTACTTTGCTTCTACTCCTTCAGCGTTCTGTTGTACCATTTCTGCAACAAATTCAGTATTAATTTATTTCACACATACACAGTAATCCAAAACCACAAAAACACTAAATTAGACAAGACAGGAATGGCTTTGAACATGATAAAAACTGGCAGGTTATTTATAAGTGAAAAATATTGAAATAAGAAAGCCTTTCTTGCTACTAGCACAAAGTTCAAGGAAATTTACCCATTAGCATATGGCAATTCCTCATGACCACGATATGGTGGAGACTTGCTGTAGCCACGTCCACGAGGAGAGGGACCGAGACGTTTTGAAGATCAGCCACGAGGACTGTAACTTCTGCATCAAATTGGTACTTATCAATCAATCAACACAAAAGTAATCAATGTTTGCTTAGGAGGCCTTAAGTTACCTGCGTCCGTAGCTTGGGATCCTACGATATCTAGGGCTGCGGCTACGACGTCTTCTTAAACCACCACGCGTGCGACATTCTCGAGCAAAATGACCAGGCTCACCACACTCATAGCACTTCAAATCAGAACCACCAGAGCGTCCCGGACCACATCCACCTCTTCCTCTAGAATTATGAGAAAGCTCAACTCTCCAGCCGTTCTTACGTGATCCAAATTCCAAACACATTGACTTTAAAGCTGATAAAGAACATTTATCTCAAATGATTAGCTATGTTCATTAAAGATGCGAAGGGGAAAATAGAAACTTCCTGTTTAGATGGTTGAAAAATGCAAAGAATATGACCAAGCCAACAAGTTCACATTTTCTCAAATTAACGCATAAAACTAAACAGTAAAACGTGAAAAATAAAATGAAAAAGACAAAGATGACAAAATCAAATAGCAAGTATATTGAAGGAGGATCCCTTCATAATTATGAACCATAATATTAAAAGGTACGGCAATAATTTGAAGCACGGTTGTGGTCAAAACAGTGTACACGAACTTCCTCTGCAAATGTATACATGCAGGTGCAGCTGTAAACATTAGAAAAGCACATTCTTCATAAAGCTCATATGCAGAAGTAGTAAACCAAGAAAGGCATATCAAAATCAAGATTTTTATCATAAATCTAAATTCTAGTCTATAAATAAAGAAAGAGAAGCTTGATAACTATGTGCTAGTTCATAAGAAAGTCATTTATTTTCTAACAAAAGAGCCAAATTTCGCATCTTTCAGTTTCAATTAGAAACCATTATCAAAACTATGAGGACGTGGTTGGAACTTGGAATACCGTCTATTTCATGAATTGCAACTTCAGCGTCCCTGTGATCATCAAATTCAATGAAAGCATAACCCGGTGGCCTTCCAGCGACCCATACACTGTAAAAAGAAAAAGAAGAAAACTTAGCAATTCAAAAGAAAACAATAGAACGAATTACGACAAGTAGTTCATACCCAAAGGTAGAGAATAGTCGCATATCACGTGGCAGTTCAGAAAATGACCAAAAAAAAGTAAGTACAACAGCAACAACATTATACCTTCGAATAACCCCAAAGACACGAAACTCGTCTTCAATATCCCGATCCGAAACCCGTGGGTCAAGGTTACCCACGTCACGCGAGACATTGCTTTTAAGGGTGGTTCAAAAGAAAGATGTTAAGTCGGAACCTGGTGAGTTGTGATTGGCGCAGAGGAGGAAACAGCTGTTTCCGTCTTTTGGGTCGTCGGGGGAGATTAGGGCTTTTGAATTTTATAGGGAAGGAAGGACGGCGAGAGAGAACAAGGATTAGGAAGTCGGCGTACTCTCAAGGCTGGCCCGCCTTTCCATTTATTACTCCAGATTCAGTGGAAAGCCCATCTAGGAAATATCATTTGGATCCATTGTGGTGTTTAAAATTGATTTTTATTTACTTGAAAAAAAAATTCTGTTTGATTCCTATTTTTGTTTTCTAATTTAATTTCTAAAAAATAATTTTAATACTAATATAGTTGGTTCAAGTGGTAAACAGCTTAATTTCGGCTAAGCAAGGTCTCGAACTATAATCCTTGTGTATGCAGAAAATCTATGTTAGGAGACTCGTCCACTAAAGCTAGGTGGGCGAAACTGGTTGATTTGAATTAGTTAAGGTGAAACCTTAGAATCAAAAGGGTAACAAAAAAATATTAATTTTTTTAAAAAGTTGAAAAACATGCTTGATAAATGTAAATAAAATTTTAATTTTAATAATGAAAATGAAAATGATAAAACTTGTTTAGTACATATTTTCAATAATAGTTTTTTTTTAAATCCAATGTTTATAAAAAAAATATTTTATTTAAATATATATTTTCCATTAAAGAAATAGACGATTACATTGTTTTATAACATGTGATGCCTTGGTTAACGTTGATATTTTGTCTTCTTAATAGGTTGAGAAGTGAGAACCGAATGTACTGAAGCAAATCTGTTAAATAAAGGTTAGATGGGAACAAATTGCAAGTGAAAAACATATGCCAACAATTTACATAGGAAAAACACTACTTAAAATGCAGCATTTCTGTTTGTGTAGTATAACTTGTAGACAAATCAATTAACTACAGTAAGCATCGTACAACCTTCGTTTGGTTCAAACTGAGTAATCCTTGTACTATGTCCAAAATAATTGTAACAATAATTTCTCTTCTTATTGGACATAACCAAGTTACCTGAGAAGTGCATGCAAATAAAAACTGCAAATCACAGTTGCCTGGTTGAGCTAAAATGAATCAATGAATCATGTTCAGAAATTCCGGAAAATTGATATTGGAGCCAAGTAAGCATTTCAAGGCAAAATCATGGCTGGCTCTCCTAGCTAAACTTTTTTCACAAAATCAACTGCTAACCTGCACAAAAGCAAGACCATAAACTCAAGTATGAGAAGCATGGTCTTGTAAGAAACAGGACAGAAAATCAATAAACAAGATGGAATATTAGAATAAAGCAAGACCATATAACTGTGAGATATAGTGAAAACCAGGGATGTTAAACATAAACTTGTCCACAAAGCACAATCATAGAACTACATGAAATAACAACATATTGGAAAAGGGCCACTAACCACATTGACTTGTCAAAATACAAAAGCTGCCAACAATGTATGCAATACAGCCCAATAGATCATAATGCCAAGCCGTAAGGCCGGTTGTCGCATGAGCGCCCGATCACAAGAAACCCTGGCACATTACATAAACATAGCTGCTTGATGAAAGGCTGCTTCTAGAGTGTAAATAAATAAATAAATCTCAGTCCAAATGAACTTTGCACTATTTTAGATGAAAACAAACTGAAAAGAAAAAATTACTCCTACCATAAGCCATCTATCATATCGGTTATCGGTCTTGTAAAACTTGGAACAACCCTTGATGTGGTAAGTGATTTGAAACCATGAACTGAGGAAACAAAAATTAAAAATGCAAGTATTAAAAGACATGCATTTAATCAAAAGTTATCTTCACTTGAAGCAGAAATAAGATATAAAAAATTTAAATAGTAAAGGCTACCTTTATCTTCTTCTTCGTCTTCTATCCTACTATTATCACCATCATCCGTGTATATAGGAATAGCAATTTGATCAGTATTGACTTTGTGCAAACTACGAACTTGGGATGATGTAGAGGTCCCTGCTATTGACCTCTTGTTTATCTACACAGATAGTCAGCAACATTGACAACTCAGTATATATAAACATATTTATTGTGCTATTGATTATGAAAAAGCATAACTGATTAAGGTGAACTGGTAAGATTAAAGTATATATCAACTTTTAAAATCTTTATTATTTGTTAAAGTAAGACTTCTTTAGAAGAAAAATTAAGACTTCTTTAGAAGAAAAATTATCAAATGCCGATATATTTTCTGGATGAATTTTTATTCTATAGCTTGAACTCATTGCATCTATGACTGTTTCACTATTTCGTGAAACCAGCCAAAGGTGTCCACCTCCCAGAGTAAAACGTGAGATGTTGATAAGAAAATAGAGAAACAGCAAACTGTGAGATAGAAATTAGATTTCACCGCTCACATTCCAGTTTTGTCCATCACTAGCTTTCTAAAGGTCCTAACAGCGTGCTGTTCAAGAAAATCGCAAACACACAAAATAACTTACCACAGGTTCAACCTCCAAGATTTCAGAGTTCAAACTAGCTGCCTGACCCACATCTCCCGCACCTGCAAGCAAATTTAACTGGGATTCCTTCTCATGCAAAGTCTTCTTGAGAGTTTCTTCTTTGCGTGTCAACTCCTCCACTTTAACCCTTTGTGCTTGCAACAATTCATCCCTATTTTTAGCAACGCCCCGAAGGTCCTCCAGTTCAGATATCATAGAGCTAATCCTTTTATGTATTATTTCCTTGTATTCAGGCACCTGACTATTCTTTGTATCAAAATGAGGATCAGGTAAACCAGCCTGAGCAATGATCGATTCAAACCAAATCAGAAACTCATTTATCTCATCTGAGTCTTTTTTATTGCCTATTTGTAATGCAGCAAGAACATCATTGGTGCATCTTGTGACCTCTTGTCTTAAGAAGGAAATCTCAGAATCCCGATCTTGTAGTTGTGATTGCAGCTGTTCAACCTGGGTAATAAGACTTTCTGATAGAGCACGAAGCTCGTCAAACTTGCTCACCGTGATGGAAAGCTTTTTCACAACCTTTCCGTGAGAAGCTTCAAGGTTCTGTAAATCAGTGTTCTTCTGTTGCAGTACCTTTTCCAGTTCCTCAATCTTCTTCGTCAACTCTTCCATTTGGACCTCCTCCTCATCAAGTGCTTGCATAAGGGCTTCAATTTCTATCAAGGAACAGCATTGACAAATGAAGATTCCAAAACAAAATGAATATGCAAGGAAAATAGAAAGTAGGATTTAAACAATAAAACATGCCTTGGTCTTTCGATGATAATACATCTGTCAGTGATTTGATTCTATCCTGCAATTCCACTGTGTTGGCTTGCACATCATGCAGTTCTTTTACTCCCTGCTGCAGTTCTCTCTCCAAATCATACACAAGGGTTTTTGAGGATTGAATATCTCGTGAGTAATTCGCGGCAGATGCTTCAGCTAACTTAATTTGATCAACAAGCTCCATGCATATCTTATCTTTCTGGATATCCTTTTCCTGAAGCTCTTTCTGCAAATTTGCTATGGTTATTTTCATTTCCCTTTGGCTTCCTTCAGTAATTTCTGCTTTCATATTCAAAAAATATTTCACTGTTGAAGAAAGTTTATCTGCCATAGTCTTGATATTTTCTTCAGAGGCAATGCCATTTTGTGCACTGAAAGAAAGTACTCCAGCTGATATTAGAGGCTTAGGCTTCGTGTTAGTCACCAGATCTGCAGCAGATAAATTATTTCCTAACAGCTCGGCATTTTGATTTTCAATCTCCAAGACGGAATTAGAACACGAGTCATAAAGCAAGGCAATGTTTCTTTTCAACACAACAATCTCCATGTCTTTCTCTTTCCCAACTGATTCTATATGCATAATGTTTCTCTTCATAGCTTCAAATGATTGTGTCATAGAATTTCGATCTCTATACAAGATCCGCAGTACATTCCATATCTCTTGACCTTTTTCTTGTAATGATTTTGACTGCACAATCCACTTTTCTTTCAGTGCAGTAATTTCAGTTCTCAAATCTTGCAGGTGATGCCAGATTAAACCACAAACTTCAACTATTGCATTGTCATCCAAAGGGTCCTGCATATTGACAGCCGGCCAAGTATCCACAAATTGAATGTTCTCCTGAAGAGGGAACCAAGAAATAAAATAAAATTAACAACCTGTTCATGAAATACCCAATGAGACAACAAATGTGGTTACTTTTTTGGCCAATCAAAAGGTTTTTTGTTCAATATAGTTTACTTGCATGCAACTCAAGGAGAAAGGAAATGGTAGCAATACGGGAAGTACAACCAACAATTGGTTGCAGAAGAAAAATACAAAAGGAAAGTAACAGGCAAACCATGTTTCCCGAAAATGGCATACCCCAAATTGAATGCACAAAGGAAAGACTGGCCATATGTTACCTTGTCCTCTAAATTACTGGGTGTACTATATGCCGAGCCAGACACATCTTGGGCATCACCCCCTTCAAAGAATAATTTAATGTTAACCTTCAAAATTTGCAGAAATTCCAAGTCCTTTGAGAAAACATTAGACAATAGGTTATGAATATCATTGACACCCTTCCTCAGAGCGTTTATACTAGATTGAAACATCATTAATTCAGAATATTGTTTCTTTCTTTCTTCAGAGTGATTTGTAGATAACTTTTCAAGATGTGAGAAAATTTCAGCTTTTGCAGCCTCTGCCACATCCTTTTCTTTAATGACTTCTGTAAGCTCGCTGGCAAGTTTTGCTACATCTTCCTGAAGAGTGTCGTTTCTCTCTTGCACTTCATTCAACTCTGCAAGCAGTAGCTCAGCAGCTCTCTTTGACTTCTGTGACTCTTGTTCGGAAGAAGCTGCAGCTGCACGCAAATCATGGCAGATTTTCTCAATTTGTCCCAACTTCTCTACTGGATCAAAGATATTAATTTCACCACCAGCATTAATGTCAGCTATTGCATTTGATATCCTGCTCAAATTATGCCCTTTCTCCTCCAACATATGCTCAGTTTCTGACAGATGATTCCTCAGGTACAAACTATCTGCTTCTAAGGCTTTTATTCTTTCAGGGTAAACAGAGAAGTCCCTCATCTTCAATTCATAATCAGCCAGAGCATTTTCCCGGTGGCTGAGCTCAGATTTCATGCGTTCCAGCTCGGCATTCATCTCTTCAATAGTTTTTTTCAGACTATCCCGCTGCTGCACCAAAGATTTCCCTTTTCTAACGGCAACATTTAACTTTTCTCTTAGAGAAGCTGACTTCTGTTCTTCTTGATTAATGAGCTCAATCAACTCCTCCCTTTTCCTTTCAAGTGCTTGAACTTCATGAACCAAAGATTGATGCTTTCCAAAGATTTCATCTCTTTCCTCCTTCACTTGCATCAATTCATGCAGCATTGCCTCCGGCTCTTTCTTTAAAGAAGCTACATCCTTTTCAGTATTCAGTATGTCTCTGCTTTGAGCTTCATCAAGGGTTGCATCACCTGACTTGGTCTCCACAAGTTCAGGATTCACAGACTTGAGATTAGTGTAATTCTCTATAAGCTTCTTCAATAATCCTTCCAAGCATGCAGTACTACTGCCACCTGAAACCAAATCTTCAGCATCGGCGTCCTGTAATACATCAGAAACTAAGTGCTGCAATCTCCTTATCTCACCATCCATCTCAAGAAGATGTTCCTCCTCCTCAATCCTCTTAACCAATTCTTCTTGCAAACTTGTAACTCTAATCTGAAGTTTTTCATTCTCAACTTCAAAATGAGTTGCCTTTACCAAAAGTTTATGATGGTTAGAAGTTGTAGTCTCCAATCTTTCAGAAAGCTGATCCCTCTCAAGCATAACTGATTGAAGGTCTGCCTCAAGACTAGATACTCTCTTTACTGATTCTTCTAAATCAGTAGCTAGTGACCCACAATAATTTTCAAGATTATCAATCTTCTTCTGCAAAGAATTTCTTTCATGATTAGCATCTGAAAGAGCGTCCCTCTCCAGAATAACTGATTGAAGGTCAGCCTCAAGACTAGATACTCTCTTTTCTGACTCTTCCAAATCAGCAGCTAGTGACCCACAATAATTTTCCAGATTATCAATCTTCTTCTGCAAAGAATTTTTTTCATGATTAGCTTCTGAAAGTGCCCCTCCTAACCACTTAATCTTTTCTTCAGGTTCCATGGACCGCAAATGTGAAGGCATATAGATTCCATCCAAAAGTTCCTCCCATTTTTGCACCAAGTGATTCCTCTCCATTAAGGACTGTTCCAGCATTTCATTTTGTTCTGCCAACCCATAAAATTTGCTCTGAAGGTCCTCACATTTTCTTCTCAAGTCCTCCCCTAATGTTGAGCCTTGTTGTGCATCTTCTTTCCAGGTATCCACGGAAACAACACCTGCATCAGAGTGTAAACCTCCAATTGAACTTTGTTGATCCCAATCAGTAGGAGGCAAAGAATTACCGGTGGTGGACCTGGCTAGCCAATCAACCTTTTCAATAATATCTCTAGAATGAAAATGCTCAGGCAGATCCAGTTCTTCTAAAATCTCTTCAATTCTCTGCAGTACGGAGTCTTTGAGAAGAAACGATTCTCTTAATGCAGTAGCTGAATTGCGAATGTATGAAAGTTCAGATTCCAGAGCATCCACACGCTCACCTGCCTCTGAGTAAGTCTGCAGTTTTATTTCTAATTCCTGAATCCAGGCATCTTTTGCTTGTAATTCCTGAGAGTATCTCTCTAGTTCAGCAGATGTCTCTGCAAGTGACTGCTTAAGACCATCACGCTGAACAACCAAACCTTTTCCCTTTGCCACAGCTATGCTAAGCTTTCCCTAACAGAAGACACTCGCTGTTCTGACTGTTCAAGTTCACTTATTTTCTGCTGTAACTCAGAATGTGCAGTCACAAGGACTTCCTTGTCCTGAGCAGACTTTCTTTCAGAGTGAGGATTTCCAGTTCCTGCTGAAGCCTGAATGCATCTAACTGATGTATCTTTTCCTCCAATTCTGTCAATTCAATCACCTTAGATTCAGACTCCTTTTTGCAATCACTCGCCTGCTTAACAAGTTCTTTGTATTTCTTAACAAGCAAATAAACCAACAATTCAAGGCAGGAAGAAGCTGCTTTATCTGATTCTGTTTCATATTCTTCCAGTTCTACAACATTCCCAACATGGTCTATAAGCTTTTGAATAGCATTTGAATCAAGGCATTCTCTGCTCATTTCCTCAATGTCTCTTGTTCTATTCATCAATTCTGAATTAAGCTGCTCATTAACAGACTGGAGATGTAGCCTTTCACCCAAAACATTCTCCAGTTGTTCAATGAAGATTGTATACTTACTGTAATGTAAGAGATCAGGAAGCTCCTCAACTTGTGGGTTTATCTCAGCCTCATCCAATGCACATGAATCAATCACAAGTTTCTTTAGTCCATTGTATATCTCCTGTAGCATCCGTGTCAGAAATTCGTTCGTCCTGAGCAAATCATTATACTTCTCATTCACTTCTTTGTGTGAACTAGATATCGCATCATGACCTGCACAAGCAACTTGTAGTTTCTCCTGCAGATCTTGGATTGACTTAATGGCAGAATTAACAGATGTTAGAACCTGGCTACTTGTATCTAAAATATCATTGCTGTTATTTGAGAAGCTGGAGTTGGAAACCCTCCCAACATACTCATCAAGCCTCCTGACTGTTTCAACAATCTGAGTAACCTTAGATTTCCATTCTAGTTCAAGTGTCAATGCCCTCTCAGCGGCTTCCTTCTGTGAACGTTCTAACTGTTGATTCAATCAGAAGCCATTTCATCTGACCTTTTCTGTAGATCAGAAAAGTGACCCTGCATTTCTGTAAGTCTCAACTGATACTCACTCAATTTCTGAGAAAGCTCAGCATTTTCTGAACTACAGCCACTTTCTTGCTTCTTTAGAGCTTCATAAAGAAGCTCAAGTTCATTGTTGTTAGCTTCAATTAAAATTGCATGCTGCTTACTAGCTTCATATAGAACCTCCAGCTCAAAGTTGCTTGCTTCAAGATTTTCACTGTATTCCTTCAAAGCTTCATGTAGAACCATGAGCTCCCCAAATGTCCAATTAACAGATTTTCTACGATCCCTCTCTCCTCTGTATAAGGAACTGGCATTATCAGCATCCTGAACCAAAAGCTTAAGCACTGCTCTCAGATCTTCTGTCATCTCTTTAGTTGAAATAAACAGGTCCCCCGCCGGTTGGCATTCAGTCAAGCCTCTTTCCTCAACTTCAGCTTCATCATGAGGCATCTTTGACTCGAAGGCTTGAATTAGTTTCGATATTCCAGGCACACCTAGTTTACTGCTAGACTGCTGTAATGACACTGAGTGGGTGTGCATCTGTTCAATTGCCTTTCCAAGGTTTTGAAATATTCTTTCAGCCTCCTTCAAGTGTTCCTTCAAGACTAGAAAACCAGAACAATCATCAAAGATTTCCTGCTCAAGCAGCTCAAGTGACAGCCCGCCAACATCAATAGGTAAGGCTACCACAGTGGATAATTCAGGATCTCGCCTCCAAGGGATCTGACAGGAATGCTCATTTTCAGTAGCATTTTCATTAACCCCGCTACCCACTTCCAAATTTTTTACTTTAATCCAGCTTCAACATTGTGGGTTTCCCTACTATCAATTTCTGCTATCCTGGCCTTGTATGCATCTAGACTAGTATTGAGTAAACTATTTTCCTCCATTAGTTTCTCCAGGCGTACTGTTACTTCTTTTAGCTCAGCCTCAAGTTGAATGTGTTGCCCATGTTCTGTAGCTAACTGCTCTTGAAGAACAAGCAGCTCAGAAGCAAGTCTCTTGTTCTCGTGGACAAAATACTCCTTGTCCTCCTCAAGCTTCTTTCTCTCCTCTGTAACTAAAGCAAGGTTCCCATTCAAGTTGGACTTCTCAACTTGTAAAGCCTGAAGTTCAGACCTGCATTCTGCTAGCTCTTCTACAAGGCATGCATTCCTCTCAAGAACCTCGTTGATGGAAGATCGAAGCACAGATATCTCATCAATAAGCTGCAGACAACGCTGATCAGATTCCATACGAAGATCAGACTGCTCAGCAAGCTGCATGTACAATATATCTTTTGTATAAGTTGTGAGATATAATTCCTCTTTCACTTTCTCAAATAAATCCAGATGGTAAGATGGTGCTAAACTATCAGGCCCAACATCTGCAGTAGAAACCAATACTTGCAAGTTTAGCAGATGCCTATATTCATCTTCATCTAGACTTCTTATCACCTCTACCAGCTGAGAGAGTCCCACTGGAGAACCATCTCTGAGAAGAGACAGAGTCGGATCTGATAAACTTGCCTGTTTTGTCAGATGAGAACTTTCATGACTTCCATCCTGAGACACAAAGGACCCCTTAGGTAAATGTTGCTGTTTTTCTTCTGAAGTCTTGCCATCACCTAGATGGAGAGCACATTTCTTGTTCTTCTTCATCAAGTGAACAAGATATTACTTCTTCAGCATGTTTATTTGTCAACTGATAATTAGCAGCCAAACTTTCATCTGCCTGGGAACTGCTGGCTGCCGCAGTAGATAGAGATGCATCATCTCTACTGACAGACTGCTCTGCCTCACTGGATTGCAGCTCCACACTGGTTACTTCTGAAGTCGCCCCTTCAAGAGGTTTAGCATAGTCAACATGCTCAGACAAAGGAAGTTCACCATCAACTTCAGACGTTCTTTCACCACCAACTTCAGACGTTCTTTCACCACTTCTATCAAATTGGTTCAACCCCAAACCATCAGCTTCCTGCATTTCCCCTACCCAGCAACAAATAAGAACTTAATTATTCATCAATCCACACATATCTAAATCGATTTTTACCCAATGCAATTGCCTAACACAGTATATGAGAAAAAAATTAAAAACTATGTACCAAGAGAAGAAGAGCACAACCTACATCTGTACCTGATCTTCCCTTTGCTTGAGATAAGGACGTATCAGGAAAATCTTGTGAAAGCAGTGGATTGTGTCCTATTTCCTTGTTGGCATCAACCAAATTTAGTTTAACGACTGTCCCTTCTATGGCAACAACTGAAGTAGATGGATGTGGCAGAACATCATGTTTTCTTCCCCCTTCAGAAACAGATTTATCTGCAGTTGAGGAAGGTATTTCTGTGCTAATCGTACTATTAACACACGGAGTACTTTCCCCTCCATTAGAGGCTGAAGAATCAACATCATATTCACCAAGGGCAACAAACTCAGTGGGTACTCCAGCATTATGGGGTACTACAGTTTCAACATTTCCTGCAACAGATACAATAGGCTCTGGTGATGAAACTACTGCAGTAGGATCAAGCCCAGATGGCAGTAAACTCTCCGACGACTGTGACACAGCCAAGTCAACGGCAGTAGTTTCCCCTTCAGAGAACTGTGGCGGGACTGTTGGTTTGGAAACAGAAGATGCTGCATCAGCATCAGATTTGTTGGAAGACTTTCCTCGACTGCTACTTCCTTTACCATCCTTCCTCTGGCGAAATTGTTGAAGCTGAAAAAGTTGACATTAAATTATACAATAACCAAACCTATTACCCTAAAAACAGACAAAGAAGTGGCATCTCATAAGCTAAAAATAAAATGGTTTTACTAAGTAAATAAAGGAATCTAAAACACCGAAACTTAAAATCCTATGGAATGTTCAGAATACGAAATACAAATTTGATTTTCTTCAGCTCTTTTCTTTTTATCAAGAAAACACTAAACTAAACATGGGTTGACGAAACACTAGAAATCAGTTGCGAGAGTGGAAACAAATCAAAATCAGTAGTACCATGATGGTGAACTAGGGAATTCCTGCCTCAGAAAAATTTCATGGTTAAAGAGAAAGAATATAGCCAGACGGTAGGTGTAACTGGGAAAAGGAGACAAAAGCAAAAAATCAAAGATGAATAAGTAAATATAATGGAAACCTTTTGACGTCCGGCTGCTAACATATCAATACGATTCTTGCTCTTGTCCATCCTATTAGCTCCGTTTTTGCTCCCACTCTGACGACTTCGGAAATCAAAGCCAAAACTCAATCACCATCAGGATCTCCCTCTTAACTACGCCCACAACAAACAATCTTGAATGGAAACAACTACTATCAATTTATATAAAACATTGAATCCACCAATAGGTGCAGTGTTCGACCACGTCAGTTGAAGGTTTTTGAAAGTACATACGATGTGTGTAATTTTAATGGGAAAATTTTGCAAGATGAATAACTTAATTTTCTTTTCTTTCTCTAACATTTTTCAAGTAACCGAAAATAAAACAGAATCGGCAATCCCAATATTCAAAAAAATAAGCCGCTAAAGATTCAAATCCTGAACCAGAAAATCATAAAGAAGGCAAATTGGATTGACGACCAAAAAAAATGTCGAGTGATTGCCATAGCAATACCAGAAATTGCCGTGCTTTGCAAAATGAAAAACTTAATTTGCTGTTGTTTTTTCTAACATCTTTCAAGAAATAAAAAATAAAACAAAAGCCAGTATCAAAATTAAAAAAGAAAAACAAAAGATTCCAATCCTGAACCAGATACTCACAAAAAGGAACAAATTTGATTGCCGACAAAAAATATTGTTGAAAGATTGCAATAGCAAATACCTGGAATTGCCGCGATCCGGTCGATAACGTGGCGCCGTAAATGAGGTGTTTTTGGTGTCGAATTTTGCTTCAGATTTCCTAAGTTATGCGAGCTTATGCGGGAATTTGTGTTCGTATATTTTAATTTTTTTCCACTTAGATCTAAAGCAAACTTCTCAATCCTTGTGTAGCTGAAATGTCCAAGCTAGTTTGCCTGGAAAGTTTACGTTCTGGATTTGGTTGATGTGAAAACCCAGATCTAAGGCCATGGCCCAGTATAGTTAATATTTGGATTTTGGGCTAACTCATGTGATCGTGTCCAAATCATCATCTTAAAGAGCTTTGATCCCAAAATGTGAAGGCTAAAGACCCATAAAAGGATTGCAAATTCGGATTAGGGTGGTCGATCATTAGATGAAAAGCCCGATTACTTTGACTAAAAATAAGTTCCTACAAAAAGGACAATATCAAAATATGTTATTCACTGTAAAAATAATTAATTTATATTTTAAATTCAAGGATAAGATCCGGGTACACAATATAAAATTCTTTTAATTTTATACAGATTTATGATCGTTGGATGAGTGAAAATATATGGTTTAGATTAACAATAGGAAATGAGAATATATTCACTGGAAAAAGAAAACAATGAGTCAATCTCAACCGTCTATTTTCACTCATTCAACGGTCCTAACTATGTGTAAAAATAAAAAGTTTTACATTTGGTAAGTAGATCTTAACTCTTAAACAAATATTATAAATTTAAATCTTAGAACAATTTAATATTAACTATATAAAAATAATTGTTTTATTATTTTATTTATTTTTAAATGAAATAGAAAACTAATATTATTATTAGAACCTTTATTTTTTTATTAATATAGAATAATTACAATATCGTATATGTTCAAAAGACTCTTAATCATTTTATAATGAACACTCAAACACTCATGTAGACATCGTGCTCGAACCTAGGACCTCTAGATAATAATAATCATTCATGTAACCACATAGATCACTTGATTCGTGCACAAGTATATCTGTTAATTGAATTACTTTCTTATTGAGCATGCATATACTAAACAAAAATAATTACTCAAACTCAAGTCTTTTTAAAGAGAATAACATTTTCTTTAAACACTTACACCATTCAATAATAAATTTACTTTAATTTTAAAAATATATAATTATAAATCTCTATAATATCATATTTAAATAATTAAATATTAATAAAATATAATAAACAATTAAAGTCACGTGTATGTTTTACAATATTATTTAGCCACGAAATGAAGTTTTTTTTATTTTGTTTTAATCATTTATGTTTCTGTAATTTTATTTTAAGTCATATTATTATTATATTGTGTATTATTGTCAATATTTAATTTTGGTCACCATATTTGCTGTTATTTCAATTTAGTCATCGATTTTATGTATTATGTATTTTTTAATATTTAATTTTAGTTATGATATGTGAAAATCTTGCATTTTAGTACTGCTTGGAAGTTGGTTTAATTATCGTGTGGTCCTTGTTGTCTCTAGTTATTTCATTTTAGTATGTAAACATTATTTTTGGGTTAATGTTATTTTTAGTACCTCTATTTGTTAAAATATATTGCATGTGGTTCTGATTTATTTATAAGATTTATTTAGTCCTTTTAATTTTTGTTAATTTCATTTTAGTCCCTGAAATTACCAAGTTTTTTTACCCATTTTTATTTTGTTTTGTAATATTTTTTTATTTTTTTATCTCAGTTCCTTATATGGAATGTATGTTTTACATATTATGTAATTATTTTACAATATGTTAAATAAATATTATTATCTCTTTTTATTGTAAATATTTTATGTTGTATATTTTCAACTACATTAGGTTCCATTGTTTTTTATCTATTGGTATATTATTCGAATATTTCAAGAATTTGTATTTGTAGAACGGGTAGGGAAAGTATCACTTGATCGAAGTGGTACAATCCGACACGACGTTCGAACGAAATGAAACTTGAAATAAATCAATTTTAGTTTATTAATTGTTAATTCATTTTTATTTTATATCGAACAAAGCAAGTTATGTATTTTATTTTTTGCAACTGTCAATTTGAATTTATTTTCGATATGCATCTTTTACATATTCGACAATAGAATATTCTTTAACAATGGAAAATGGTTAAAACAGCTTTCCCGCGGAGGATAGCAAATTTCAAGATTTTTTATTGAGTTAAAGGACTTTCTATAAATATTAATTTGAAGTAAATTAATAAATGTTTGATAAATAGATTATATTTTAACTTTATATTCGACTTATAAATTCCACCATTTACGACAACGTGTAAGCAACACAGTACCAATTTTGGGCGCTGTGGGTGCTAATCCTTCCCCACGTGTAACCGACTCCCGAACCTTTTAAAATGAACATCTGGTAATGCAGACAAATTTTATCTTTAAAAAATGATTTTTCTTAAAATTGTTTTTAAAAGACGTTGTTAGGTATTCGACCTACCTAACCCAAAGGTCGATGGTGACTCTATCCAAATTAATTCCAAATCACCCAATTTTTCCAAATTAAAGCTGTAATTGTTTTTTAAAACAATAAACAATTGTTCAACCTAAAAAAACGGTTATGACAGCTTGGCGACTCCGCTGGGGACTCGTAGAGAGTCAAGCTATAAAATCGCTTACACATTATCGTTTGGTGGAAATTATGAGTTTGAGTTTTTAGTTAACTTATTATTCATTTATTAAAGTTTTTAATTGTCATACTAACATTTGGATTTTTGCTTGTAGCTTAGTCCATGTTTGTCGAGTTTTTTTTCGTTTCAGTTTTTGAGTCAAAGGTAGGTACGCCCCTCCTCACACACATCACATATATTGGCATAACATAAGCTCTAGACACGATCTTCGATCCAAATAAGTCAAGGTGAATACTTTAGTCTCGTAAGAATTTATTCTTCGTATGAGTTTTAGCAAATAACCCACAGGATACATACTTTATATCTTCGAAGGGATTTATTCCTCATATGGGTATAAGGTAGTGAATCCCCTCGAATTGAACTCGTTCCGTTTGAAACCTGTAATGGGTGAGGATCGAGGGTTTGGCAGCCCAAGGGGGAACCGACATCAAGGACAATTCGAGTACCTTTTCCTCATAGAGCCGAAATCATGCATATAGTGAACCGTAGAACAGTCACCCTAGGTATAGTCATACCGAACCTCTGTTCGTCAGTAGGTACCCAAAATAGGTGTACACAAAGGAGGAACGTTTATGAACCTTTCATTTTTTCTTTAAATCATGTTGAATAACAACATGCGAACTAGATATCATGCGGTTAAGATTAATTTCTTGAAAATTATTTTGGGTAGATAGCATGTACGGGTAAAATTTTTTATTTAATCAAAGCATGTTCAGGTATATATCATGACGGGATAGGTGTTATATTAATCTTTGAATAACATTTTTATCTGTATTGATTGTCTCACCTGTATTAAATGATTTCTTTCTTTTTGTTTGTGTACATTAACTAATTTATTTCCTTTTGTTTATGTACACTAACCTATTTATTTTCTTTTGATTGTGTCATTTTTCATCATTCTTTGCATTGCATTGCATTGCATCGACATGACATAATGTGAAAAGTATTGATCCGCAAGGGGATATTCTTGAGAAAAATTTTCAAAGAAGAGATAAAATTTTTCAATCAAGCGGTCGCGTACATAGACATGCACCAAGGGCTAAAAGAGTTGAGAGCAGAAAATGAGACTTGTTCGAAAATTGTACCGCATTCGAGACTGAAATGACGATCCACTGATTCGAGGAGTAATCCAGTAGTGGAGCCTTTTTTACAATCATGTCATCAATAGTCATCAAAAAGCGACGCATTGACTTCAACATCGTTAAGGCATTAACGAATTTAGTTTACAGAGTATTGAGGGGCATCAGTTTCAAATATGAATATCTGAGACGAAGCAGTGAGCTCGACGATCGTGCAGTATTCGAGACTAAAATGATGATTCATCGATTTGAGGAGTAACCCAATAGTATATTATTATCTATGATCATCTAATCGCTAGGAGCGACGCACTAGCTTCTGCACTGACTTCCACTTAAGATGTAACGAATGGCAAACTACATTAGATCAAGTGGGATGTAGAAAATAACACTTTAAAGCCATATGACACTGGCTCATCCCCATCTTATTCTTTGAACCCTTACAAATTCCCAGTTTCCATATACCCAATTAAAGTAGCAGCCAATTGTGCAATAAAAAAGACAGTGACCAGTAGTAGTTCGTGACGCTCAACATAAGACTCACTACGTGGTCTAGTCACAAAAATTAGAGTCTGGCTCGCAATGCTTACTTGTAAATATAAAGCACCCATCATTTGATCATTCCTATCCCTTAGAGACCTTACACCAAATTTGTCCAAGAAGAAGTCGGTATAATGTATAACCCAGAAGAAAACGACAATCATCAGTGCCAAGTAGCCTCCAAGCACAATTTCGGTGGTAAAAAATTCTTTCAGTTTCCAGTTATCAGGCAAGAGAGACGACTTTACTCTGTCATTTGAGATTGTCATGATAGTTCCATCGTTTAGAATGACAATGATCAAAACCATGGATGATGAAAAATCGAACTTCCAGATGAGAGCAGTAATAAACTCAAACACAATACAGATAGTGATTGAGACTGCATAGATAATGTAGTTCTTCATCATCTAGAAAATGGCTCTGTTAGTTAACATCGCACTGATAATAATGCTTAGACCAAGTTTTGTAAAGATAATATCTGAAGTGCTCTGTACCGCATCAATAGCATTGGCCACAACGATACCAATATCAGCCTTCTTCAAAGCAGGAGCATCGTTAACACCATCTCCAGTCATTCCACAAATGTGTTTCCTTTCTTGCAACTTCTTCACAATTTTGTATTTGTCCTTTGAAAAGACGCTATCAAACTTATCTACCTTCTCAACCAACTCTTCTATGTGAAGGTAGTTATGCTTGCATCATTGTCTTGACTAAGCAAAAAAGAAGATGTATACATGTTTGTTCTCATTCTAAGTCGTTGTTCAGTCTCTTTTGCGATGAAATTTGATCACATGTAATCATCTTAACATTGGCACCAAGATTAAGAGCTCTATGAATGGTCTATGCACT